AGTAGCGATGCCCTTTGTTACTAGTAGCTTCTTGCTCCTAGCAGTAATGCCAGGAGCCCCTAGTAGAGTCCTTGCTCCTAGTAGCGATGCCCTTTGTTACTAGTAGCTTCTTGCTCCTAGTAATAAGGCCAGGAGCCCCTAGTAGCGTCCTTCCTCCTGGAAGCGAAGCCCTTTGTTGCTAGTAGCGCCCTTGCTCCTACTAGCGATGCCCTTTGTTACTAGTAGCTTCGTAGCTTCTTGCTCCTAGTAGTATGGCCAGGAGCCCCTAGTAGCTTCCTTGCTCCTATTAGCGATGCCCTTTGTTACTAGTAGCTTCTTGCTCCCAGTAGCAAGGCCAGGAGCCCCTAGGAGCGTCCATGCTTCTAGTAGCGGTGCCCTTTGTTACTAGTAGCTTCTTGCTCCTAGTAGTACGCCCCTAGTAGCGTCCTTGCTCCTAAACCCTTTGAGAAAACACCGAGCTCCAAATTACGTCAACATTATTTGTTGCTTCGTCGACAAATTGTCTCACGATTAATGCACGCTCAGCAAAGCCGGCCTCTGTCAAACAACTTCTGTTGTACAAAGAGACTGCAGCAATTCTGGGCAAGAGACTGCTGCAGGCCCAGAGCTGATGGCAGCCGCAGAGTTGCTTTGGCAAATTCACCTGCAATGAACTCAGGTGCCGAACCGCAATGGAGCACAGGAATGACAAAACAAACTAATTGGTGTGCTGCTAAGTGCGGAAAGTTGCACACTTGCTTGTGCCCCAGAAACGGACATCGTTTTGAGACTGCACGTCCAAAAGTTGCCTTATCTGATTGCTTTGCGGATCTTTGCGGTAATGCTAGTAATGCTCTAGCATTTTGCATGAACGTGTTGTTTCCTTGTGGTGGTAATTCACCCTTGCCAAACCTGCCTCCTCAGGGTTTTGCATAGCGAGGTGGAGGAGTTGCACGCATTTCCTCAAGCTGAGGACACCAGTCCGCCGTCAAACTTTCGAAGATGCCTACGACATATTGAAAAAGAGCCTATACAAGGCAAAAATACAGTAAACAAAATGCAAGTACTTGCTCTGTACTTGCTCTGTGATCGGTCCCTGCTAGTGGTTTCCATGATGTTGTGCCACCATATTAATCACGCGCTTGGGCGTTTCTCCCTTTCAAGCAACAAAGGGCGCGCAGCACAGCGGAGACTGCACCCACCAAAGCTACCCACTGGCGCTGGAAGCGCAGATTGATCTCTTCCGTGTTTATACCTGCTATGATTGCCCTCTAGATACTTCCAGCTTCCGGCCTTTCATCCTTGGCCTTGGTTTTGCAATTTGTTCATCATTGTTTGCTTCATTCACATGAATGGACCAATTGGATTGATGTTTGATACAGTTTGGTCTTGAGGACCATGAATCTTTCGTCTGCATTGTAATTGGTGTTCAGGTCCTCTTGGTACTTGGGTGCAGCTATTGAAGGGTGCCTTTCCATACGCCCGAATCCCCACTTGTGCCTTTTTGTGGCTGGTCAGCCCTGAAATGCTTTTGATCATGGGTTCTTCAGGGGAAGCCTTCCGACGATTCCAGAACATCCCTGGCACTGCCCAAGCATTGTTGGTGTTGTCGGGTTGCACTGCGCACGCCGTGCTAGAGAAACGTTGACCGAGCCCGAACGTTAGAAACAAACATGAACCTCCAAAACATGCTTGAGATTTGGTGGTGAATGAGATCAGGCCTCCAACCCGCACCCCAAAGAAAGAAAAAGAAGGAGTACAATGAGAGCTGGACTTGCGGGAGGCGATAAGGGACATGAGAATGCAACGAAACGAGTCAACATGAGATGTCCGGTTCGGGTGGTCTCTCGAAAGTGGGCACCCTCCTAGGCCGCCATCAAGACATAACGAAGCATACTAGGAGGAAGGACGCTACTAGGGGGTCCTGGCCTCACTGATGACTAGTATATAATAAGAAGCTACTAGGGGCTCCTGGCATCGCTACCAGTTACTGGGAGTAGGGGCTGAATCCAAGGGCAAAGTGTGTCCCGCCGGAAACTTCACCTGCTGCATGCAAGCATCTGCGCAACAAGATCCAGGTGCTCTTCATTGAAAATTCCAAACCTCGGGCAGCATGTGACAGGAGGCACACTAGTCACTAGAAGCAGCGAAAGCAAATGACAGTTGCCCTCACACAGCTAGTATCAACAAGTCTTACCTTGACCATCGACAACAGCATACAATTGCAATGTTGCGGTTTATGTCTGCAGTCGTGCGCTGTAAAGCCACGATGCCTCAGATCGAGTTCGTAAATGGTTTTCATCTGTTCGTAAAATGTGTCGTCTTCATTTGGCGCATCATTGCCAAGCAAGTAGTACGCTGGTGATGCCTCTCCCAACAAACTGTTGCCATAGACAGCACCTGGCGCATTTCTGCAACAAAGCTTGCTGGCGGCTTGCTATTGTGAAAAGATGTAAAAAGTGTGTGTGTGTGTGTGCGTGTGTGCAAAATTAGAACGGCCCCCCCTCGGTGCCTCAAACGGTGCGAGCAACATCCAAAAACAGTGAGTGGCTCACCGTGAGAAGGTCTTACAGGGAATAGATCTAGCAAATACAGGATCACAACGCACGGTGTAAAATGTGTAAAACCAAAAAACTCAAATGGTGGAAGACTTGATCAACCCAACCTCACCCCAGCTCCTTTGGCCCTGGGGCACCTATGGTTGGACTGGTCATGGCCGCCTGCACAATTGCCCTCACGGCCTTCATTGTTTTGGTGGAACGGATCACCGCGGGTGAGAGGCTGGCAAAGTCCTCTGACAGCAAGCCGTTGGCCCAGTCGGTATAACCTGTCAGCATCAGCGCTTCTCGAAATTTGAACAAATGCGGAAGCGGACGAAAGTGAGTAGACAAATGCGTGCATGTTTTCGGACGAGGACGAATAGAGAACGAGTGTATGGTATGTATCCCGCAGGCGGAGTCATGTAGGTATTGCAGACAAAACTGCAGGAATTACAGTATTTGCAAAGATTCTGAAAGTCCCACTCGGCAGAACCGCCAGAAGCAAACGAGCGGCAGGTGATGAGCAGCACACCAGCAGCAGGAGCACCGGCAAACCAGCAGCGCAGATCACCAGCAGCAAAGCTGCAGCACAAACACCGGCAGACCCGCACCCGCAGACCTGCACCAGCACCAAACCAGCAGAAGTAATTAGAACATGAGGTCAAGCAAAAGTATGGGAGCATGGTACACATAGGAAATCAGTCATAGTCATGCATGAAGAGCAGGAGGCTGAGGAAAAAGCTCAGAAAGCACCACACCGAGCAGGAGGATGGTCAAGAATCAAGTGCGTGAAAGTGATTGCGATGAAGTCGAGGTACAGGTACAGGAGGTCGACAAGCTGGGCACGATCCAACCGCCAGGCCACGATTGAAACGCACCAGTGGTTGACCTTGCAAAGCTAAAGGAACGAAGCTACCTTTGGTGAAATGTTTTTCTCATTATGTACGCCGTGCATACCCAAACCGGAAACCAAACAGAACGAACACTGTTTACATTCCCGCTAACATTCACATTCACATTCACATCTATGATCATCTATGGATGGCATGGCTGTCCACGAGCCGACCCGAACCCTTGCGGTCTTTTGTTCATGGCTTGGGTTCTATAAACTTTGGGAGCCTGCAGAGGGCTCAGAATTGCTTTGATTGTTTGGGAGTCTTTGCTTGGAGTCTGTTTGCTTATGTGAGGGATCACAAGGGCATGTTTCTTGAAAAACTGTTCGGTGTGTTAGTTCCTTCGCACAGGCGTTGTTTGTTTGGTTGCGAGTGTAGGGTTTCGGTTCTTTGATTTGGCCTTGCTCATTTGGGGTTTGGGTTCGTTCAGTGTCGGCATTTTGCTGTTTCATGTTTCCACTTTGGCCTCGATTGTGGGGTGTTTGTTTAGGATATATTTAGGGTTCCGGCTCCTTTTCCAAAGGGATTTGTTGGTATGTCGCAGGGCGGCTTTGGGTTGTACAAGCACCTGGGTGAGGACAGTCATCCGTTTATTTCACAGCACCGCGCCAACGCCCTACAGAACTACTGTGTGGTTTTGGAAAACTGTTCTACATCAAGAATGATCAAGAATGCATTGCCCGTGTGCACCCACCAAATTACACCGGCATAGGCCCCAGATAACGAGTGTACAGGGGAAAAATGAAAAAAAAAAACTAACCCAGCACCGGCGCCAGCACCTGCACGCACAAAACGCCGATCCAGCAGCAGCAGCGGCGGCGGCAGCAGCAGCAACAGCAGCCGAACCCACACCAGCACCAGCACCCGCACCAGCAGCACGCCCCAGAAAACGCAGATCCAGCCCCAGCACCCGCACCAGCACCTGCACCCACACCAGCACCTGCACGTCGCCAGAAAACGCCGATCCAGCACCAGCACCTGCACCAGCACGCCCAAACAAAACGCCGATCCAGCACCAGCACGAGCACCAGCAGGGGCAAAACGAAGCGCGGATCGAGAGCCACACCATTGAGAAGTAAGAGCCCGATAGCTTGCACCTATCTAATACACCAGTATAGACCCAGGTAACAACCTGACAGCGACTGGCTGGAACAAGAATGTACAATGTACATTCAGCCTGCACGGCCAGCTTACGGCGCCTCCAAAGCACGCACAACCAGCTGGCACCACCACCAGCGCCCGTGTCTCGACAGCGCGATTTGCCATCTGACAACACCGTCAGCCCGGCCAGCTCACAGCGCCAGCACCAGCACCCAGGACCAACACCGTCTCGACAGCGCACGGCCACCAGCACGACACCCTCTCGAAAGCACGCGCGGCCAGCTCATTCTCATCAGAAGTAAGAACCCCATAGCTACTGCTATCTGGGGAACGACACTTTGTCAAACTCTAAAGCTACAGCATCTTCAGGCACTAAGGCATACGGATGTTCAAGCTCCACCAACCACACCCACAGCTTTGGAATGAGAGCGTGCGCAACCATGTCACTCCAAAAGTCAGCTGCCCCGCAGTACGCCAGAATTGCAAGCACCCTGTCTCCACCACGACGCGTACAGCCAGCACCAGCACCCAGCACGGGCACCCAGCACCAGCACCCTGTCTCCGCCACGCGCACAGCCAGCACCCAGCACCCAGCACCGGCACCCACTCTCCACCACACACACAGCCAGCACCGGCACCCTGTCTCCACCACGCGCACAGCCAGCACCAGCACCCAGCGCGGGCACCCTGTCTCAACCACGCGCACAGCCAGCACCAGCACGGCACCCTGTCTCCACCATGCAGCACCCTGCACCGGCACCCAGCACCGGCACCCTGCCTCCACCACACGCACAGCCAGCTCATAGCACCCACCACCACCACCGCAGCCAGCACCAGCACCCGGCACCGGCACCCTACCCTGCACCGGCGCCCAGCGCCGGTACCCGGTCGCCACCACGCGCACAGCCAGCTCACAGCACCCAGCACCAGCACCCGGCACCGGCACCCTGTTTCGAAAGGGCACACAGCGAGCTCATTGTTATTTGAAGTAAGAGCCCCATAGCTGTCGCTATCTGGGGCAAAAAGTATGGCGTGGAAGCATGGCTACGCTGGCGTGAGTGGCAGGCAAGTCCCAGGTACCCACCTACAAAGTTCCCAATAAAAACTTGAGCAATCCCACGACGGCCACAGCATGTTGAAGAAGTGCTCATTCTGTGCTCGATTCAATCAAATTCCATTGTCTTGACGCAACCCAGCAAATGGCATCATCTTATCAACCCATGTTTCATGTGATGTTCCAAAGCTTATCTTGCATCTTGCATCTAACCCACATGGAAATGCAGCATCGACTTAACCCAAGTACTATCATCATGTGTGCTTCGGACGTTGGTTCATGTCATTCACTGAGATTTTTGTTGGTTCGCTTCTCTAGTGTGTGTGTGTGTTCAGGGTGTTTTTTTGCTTGGGGATTGTTGTTTTGGGTGGTTCGGGTACTTTGCTTTGGTTCCTTTTTTGATGTCTAGCTCTCACTCCTATACTTACCGCGCTTTGGTGAAAGATTTTGTGATTCATACACTTGCCCGAACCACCTGGCATCCAGACTCAACCACCTAAAACCCTGATTCAATCATATGATATGACATCATGCAAAGTGACAAACATTGTGTAACAATATGCTGAGACAGATCAGGCAAACACCTTCTTCCAAGAAAGTGCGAAGCTGTTCTGCTGTGGTCTCTGAACCGGCTGTGATCGAAGACCATTCTGCAGCAGAAACACCATAGGCTGCAACCCAGTCCTGCGTGTCCTGCTTGGCCATGGTTCTTATCAGTGTGTATTTCTATGCCGTTGTGCCTGGATCCTTCTAGTCTATACTGGGTCAGCAATCAGGAGATATGCATGACGCCTTACGCAACACTAGGAGCTGCCTTGCTCGTGTTTCTCTGCTCCTACAGAGTCCAGAATCCAAGGTCTTTGGTAAACCGAAGGGGCCCAGGGACGTAAGCTATATAGAGCAAGGGAATCTTCCCCCACTGTCCTTCGCTCGGGTGTTCCTCCTCTTGGGCATGGCATGCTGTCGGATACGCTGCACCTTGAGGTCGCAAGCACCTTCCAAGGTCCAACGAGACCAATGCCGAGGCGGAGGCACACTTAGTGGTGTGCAATGCAATCATGTGATTGTAATTACACCTCTGCCAATACCTTTGAGCCTTTATCGCCTGTGGTTTGGGCGATTCACAGCACCTCTGGCCACTATGGGCAACAAGCACCAAGATGCCCCCATCCAATGACGAATTATGCCAGCTACTGAGCAAAGTCAGAAACTTAGCAAGCTCGTAAGAACAATGTGTGTTTAAAATTCTGCACTGAAACTGGACAGAACCGTGCTTGAATTACTGAGTGTCATATTCACATGACAACTGTAACAAATGGGAGCCAAACAAAAGGAGAGCAGCGGTACAAATGTGCCATGGTTTCAGGAAATCGATGGAAATCAGGGGCACTCCCTTTTCACCGGCGCAGGTAGCAACTTCAGCAACATGAATGTAGGTCTTGCCAGCTCTCACTGATACCACATCACACATCAAGCAACTGCAGAGCGACAAAGCCCTGTGACATGTATGTGTGAGGCTTCGTTCAATGATTCATGAGTGGCCATGATACGTTGCCGGACTAGTGTGTTTGTGTGCGCGCGCGCTCACTGGTCTTAACCAAAAGAATGTTTGGCACTGACCTCGAGCCCGGGGGGTGACGGACTGGAAGTTTCAAAGGGCTGCACAGGGGCTTTCAAAGGAAATCAAAAACACTGCTCAGCCTGTGACATTTTCCCTTGAACTTTCTGCTGGTCCGAGAATCACAAACAAACTTCACCTTTGGAAGTCAGCTGATCTGTTCAAGCCGCTCCCATGTTTTGGACCAGCGGCAGTGACGAAGGCCTAAATCATCACCTGCGTTCCTATTTGCTGCTGATGTGCTTGGGAAAACTGTTTCCTCAAAGTGGAGCGGCAAGCCTTGGATGAGCAGCAAACAAATTGGCTGGTGGCAGCGAAGAGTCTACAAGGATTTGCGTGTTACCCAAAAGTCTCAAGAGAGCAAGTCCATCAGCCATATTCCCAGCACAATGACAAAACACCATGAATCCAAAGTAGAGCTGCCACCAGTTCAATGAACTCCCCTGCGCTTAAGGAAAAGATCAACGCGAGCAACCAGCTTGTGTGAATCCTCCTCAGGCCCAAGTTTTCAAAAACAAAGCAGTTTCAGAATAATATACGTACATAATTGTACATACATGTGCATACCTACACGTTCTATTTGTATATATATACTGCTGCTCCCATGCTCAAAGCAGAAACAGCCAACCATGCAGGTCCAAAAAAAGTTACGAACACAAATCCAAAGCAAATGACTCCAAGCACCTCGTTCTCTGAAGCCTCCGGTGGAGGGGGCGGTGGAGGTGGGGGTGGAGGAGGTGCACACTCTCCTGGAAGCTCGGAGGACAGTCATCCAATGCAAACATGTCAGTCTGAGTTTCGTTCAGCCCCAATGAGTTCTGCCCCCAATAGGAGCGCATCTCGAGCAAATTGCCAGACACGTCTGATTTCCAAGCTTGCAAACAGGCTAGCATCCTTCCTTCGCCAGGAATTGAGGGAAGCATATGCTGAAGCTGTTGCAGCAACTCGTCCAGCTGGCCTCACATTGGCACAGCAAACCTATAGCCACACAGCGTTGCACAAAGCCAATGTCCCATTTTGACAAGTTGCCCCGGTCCACTGTGTCACTGTTCTCGCGACGAGATCTCTGCAAACCATCCCACAGTTGCTCTTGAGACACCTAAGATGATCAAGATGAGTTGTTTCCCAAAAACACCTGCGACGGGTTCTCCTTCAAGAACGGTTTCAGAACTGTCTGGTTGGCTATCATCTTTATCATCATCATAAAAATCACATTCAACATAATCTACCACTCAGCATCACCACCATCATCACCACTGTCATTGCCACCATCATCATCAGCAGCATTGTCACCGTTATCATCACCATCATCATCACCACCGCCATCGTCATCACCATATGAAGTTGCACAAATGCAGGTGGCCGATATGATTGCCAAGGGTCACCATCATCAATTGCATAGATGCTATCACATCTACATAGGTACAGGTGTTTTGATTCATACAGGTATTGAAACACAAGTGTGGAGGTGTAGGTGCAACAGGTGTTGGGATACAGGTGATACAGGAGTTGGGATACAGGTGTAACAGGTGTTGAGATACAGGTGCTCATATCTAGGTGGGGAGGCCTGAAGACACTGGGGAGGCCTGAAGACACCTACGAAATTCATTTACATAACTGCACAACTACAGTTTCGAAATCTTGATAATTACTTTTAAGGCGGCGGGGTGGCTGGGCCCATGCTCACGAAACCCAACCCTCGGCGGAAAGCGTGCGTGTCGGATGCACGAAAGTGTGGTCATATTATGCAAATCGTGATCACAACTGAGGAATTAACCCTCTGCGGAGATCGTGCGCGTCGAGTGTTCCAACGTGAGGCGAAATGCAAATCTTGTCTGAGCGCAGTGAACCCCTCTCCGGAGATCGTGCGTGTCAAGTGCGCAACCGTGAGTTGAAATGGGAATAGTGTTTCAAGGTGAGTAACTGCTGCCGAAAGCGAAGGCTGTTGACGTACAAGTGTGCAACTGTCGTCGAAAACGCAGGTGGCGGCCAAAGTGCCAAAGTGTGTAACTTTCGTCGAAAACAAGGCGAAAGCTGCCAAAGTGTGAAGCGGTCGTTGAAAACGAAGGTGGAGGTGGCCGAAGTGTGCAACTGTCGTCGAAAACGGTGGCGGATGCCGAAGTGTGTAACTAAAGAAGGTGCAGGTGGCCCACGTGTGTATATAACTGTCGCCGGAAACGAAGGTGGACGTTGCCAATGTAAATGTCGTCGAAAACGAAGGTGGAGGTGGCCCAAGTGTGCAACTGTCGCCGGGAGCGAAGGTGGAAGTTGCCAATGTAACTGTCGTCGAAAACGAAGGTAGAGGTTGCCAAAGTGTGTGACTATCGTCGAAAACAAACGTCGAAGTTGCCGCGTGACTCAGAACTGGTTGTTTTGTAGAACGAAAGTAGTTTGGTAGTGGCAATACGGAAGCAGCTTCTGGAAGCTGTGGCCAGACAACTGGCCACTTGGTAGCAGCAGCTTGTGGGCATCAGAAGGGCGACTTGGTAGTACAAATATGTGCGGGGATAAAGTTCTACAAGCTGTGGCCTCGGAACTGGCAACTTCGTACATAGCGCAAATGTAGTGCGGGGCGGGGTGTTCCAATTACAGTACGTCTGTGATATCGCTGTGCCATGCGGTTTTGCGCAGCTGCGGTTGAAAGCGCATTTGCCTCAGTCCGTGCCATGGGGGGAAGGAAAACATGCTGGTATAAATTCAGCGTGGGGAGCGGGATGATTCGCGGTGTCCACGAGGCTTGGTATTAGCACCGTTATGATCCTCATCACACCTCATCACATCTCATCACTATTATCACCACCGCCACCACCACCACCAGCATCATCATCCTCATCATCATCCATCCAGATCCTCATCCTCATCATGATCAACATCATCTCCAATCCTCACCACTGGGCTCCTTCCGGGCCGCTTTGGAGAGACCTCATTACAGTAGTTAAGTTTCCCTAAAGATCTGGAATCCAAATGATTAGTGCGAGCGTGAGCTATCCTGCGTCCATATGTAGTAAGTAGTAGCGCCCAGTAGCTAGGAGCGAACTTCTCCCTTACTTAATTGACTGGGTGCCTACTTAGTTGAGTAACGAGGCAGGGCCGAGCGGGCTTGCAATGATCCCGTCTCTTAGGCCGATCGGGAGATGGATGGCCACATCCGAGATGATGAGGCCAGGCTTGGGAGCGGTGAGAATTGCAATACATTTGGTAGGTCAACATTGTGAACTTGCAATTTCGAAAGAATGTCTCTTGAACCATGGGCAATTCCGTTCCTTTTTATTAAGTTTGCATGGAACATGGAACTCCACTTTTGTACTTCATCGTTACCTCTGTCATCTCCCGCTGTGCTTTCGGGCCACCCTGTCGTCTAGTTTGTCTAGTTTCTTTAAGCCCGAGGGGGGGTATGCCGCTAGAAGAGGAGAAGAGAGGTAGGCGTAGCTACTAGCTACAACTTCGCTTCTGCTTCTTAGATTTTTAGGGAAACTTTATCAGTATCGCACAAATATGCTCAAAATGATGATTTGCATGCGCTTGTGTGCCACAGTGTGCGCGAAGTCTTTCAATCCACTATGCAGAAGTAAAACGAAGATTGATGCCTTGAAATAACAGTCAAGACTCAAAGCTTCCCAGTGTCTCAGTTGCAACATGCTCCACCGATTTCTCTCGCGGTTCCCCAGAAATGCTGTCAATGGAGACGACAGGCAAAACATCGCCCCAAGAGCTACCAGTTCCGGTGGCCAATGGCAATCGAGTAGG